GGCTTACCAACAAGGAGAACATAGTCTACAATTACCTCAAGAGCAATCTTTCGTTGACAAAGAGTCAAACCATTAGCGTTTCTAGCTATTTCAAGACCAAGAAAATAGCGTAGACTTCCTAAATCTTTTATTTTAAACGTTGCATCCAGTTTAGACTTGATAGATTTCATGCTATCTAAATCATCACCGATAAGAATAATATCATCGACATACACTAACAAAGCAAGAAATCTGCCATTAGATCGTTTGGTAACCAATGTATGGTCTACCTTAGATTGTATGAAATGATCATTCAACAAAAATTCAGTAAGCTTAGAATTCCATTGATGACTAGCTTGTTTTAGCCCATATAAAGACCGGTTAATACCTTATTTTGGCCCGAACTATGACTATATAATCATCTTTGGCCCGTGGTTTCAGAAATTAATATCCCGACCTCAACTATGCAACATATAGACTCAATTGGCCCGACACATGGTTTGACCGTCAATTTGGATGGTCAGCACCGTTGACGTCAGTCATTGCCTCGTCAACCTAAAAATAATTAAAAAAATTAAATTCAAATTATTTTCCTAATTTCTATTATTTATCATTTTCAAAATTAACCATAAAATAAAATTTATATTTTATTTTTTGGGATATTTGAAAATGATAAATTTTATAAATTAACCAAAAATTATCAAATTATTTTATATACTTAACATTTCCCAAAAATAAAATATATATTTTATATCATATTTTTTAAATTTATAAATTTTAATTTGATAATTTTTGGTTAATTTATAATTTATCATTTTCAAATTACACAAAAAAATAAATAAATAATATTTTATGTTTATTATAAATTATTTTTTGTTAATTTGATTATAAATAAAAAAATTAAAAAAATAGTTTGAATTTGAATTTTTTAATGATTTTTATGCTGACGATGCAATGACATGGCATGTTGACTAACAGTCAATGGTGTTGACCATCCAAATTGACTGTCAAACTAGGTGTCGGGCCAATTGAGTCTATATGTTACATAGTTGAGGCCAGGATGTTAATTTCTGAAACCACGGGCCAAAGTTGATTATATGATCATAGTTCAGGCCAAAATAAGGTATTAACCCTATAAAGACTTAATTAAGCGACAAAAAAGATGTTTAAGAGAAGAAGGGGCTGTTAGACCCTTAAGGAGTTTCATATAGGATTCTTCTATTAAATCCCCATGTAAAAAAGCATTGTTACATCTAGTTGTTCAATTGACAATCCTTTTGTTGAAGCCAAAGCAAGAAGAGTGCAGACTGTTGTCATTTTAGCCACGAGTAAAAAAGTTTCTAAATAATCTATGCCTTTGGTTTGAGTATGTAAAATAGGAACCAGACTCGATTTAACGTGGGATCTCCGACGTATCGGGACTAATCCACGGGAGAGTATGAACCTCTCCAGATACTGATATTATTAGGTTGTGAGCCCATAGAGTGACTTAGGCCGCGTACAAGAAGTTTGTATATACCCCGTCTACTAGAAGCTAGGGTTACATCATGTATATTATCCTCCTCTAACCCGCAATCCATGCATGCAGCGGAAAGAGTAGAGAGTGCATGGGCTTTGGGTTGAGTGGATGAATGTCAGGCTGCATGCCGCGACGTGGGCTGCGGTGTAGGCCCACCCACCTGCTCCAATACTCCCCCGCAAGCTGGAGCGTGAAGGTCACGAACGTTCATCTTGGAGAGTAGAAAACAAAATTGCTCGGCCCCCAAACCGTTGGTGAAGATATCCGCCAGCTGCAAATAGGAGCTGACCTTGAGAGAAGAGACGACACCAGACTGAACCCGCTCACGAACAAAGTAGCAGTCTATCTCCACGTGTTTGGTGCGCTCGTGGCACACCGGGTTAGCAGAGATGTGAAGAGCTGCCTGATTGTCGCAGTAGAGAGGTGTGGCACGCTGCTGAGGGGCCCCAAGTTCAGCGAGAAGCCAACGAAACCAGATCACCTCACTCACAGTACTTGCCATGGCGCGGTATTCGGCTTCGGCGGAAGAGCGAGCAACAATGTTCTGCTTCTTGGTGCGCTAAGAGATCGGGGCGCCACCTAGAGTAATGAAATATCTCGTCGTGGAGCGACAAGTACTCTCACAACCCCCCAATCTGGATCACAGTAGCCAGCCAGAGTAAGATCATTAGACTGCGGGAGATAAATACCTTGGCCCGGGGAGGTCTTGAGATACCGAAGATACGCATCGCAGCTTCCATGTGGGCACGACTCGGAGCATTGACGAACTGGCTCAGGATGTTAACATTGTAGGTGCTGTCAGGATGAGTTACCGTGAGGTATAAGAGGCGCCCAACAAGGTGACGGTAGCTCGAAGGATCGGCAAGAAGCTCGTCATCAGATGGAGGTCGTGTGAGATGATGGTTTTGCTCGACCAGGAAGGCACTAGGGAGAGCTCCTTCCACGCCAGCATCCTCGAGAATGTCTAATGTGTATTTTCGCTGACACAAGACCACCCCATCCTGAGTACGGGCGAGCTCCATGCCAAGTAAGTAGCGAAGAGCACCCAAATCCTTAGTGCTAAACTCGGTGTCGAGGAAATGCTTGACATGATCGATGAAGGGAATATCGTTACCAGTCAAGATGACGTCGTCAACATAAATGAGGGTAGCGACAAATGTGCTCCCCCGTCGAAAAATAAAAAGAGAGTGATCGGCAGGAGACGAGACAAACCCGAGACTACACAGAGCAGTCGTCAACTTGTGATACCAGTAACGAGAGGCCTGAAGAAGGCCATACAGAGACTTTCGAAGGAGACACACTCGAGCATCGGATGGACTAGCAAAACCAGGGGTAGCTGCCATGTAGACCTCTTCCTCAAGATCCCCGTGGAGAAAGGCGTTGTTAACATAAAGTTGATAAATATCCCAACCACAACTAATGGCAACCGCAAGAAGACAGCGAATAGTCACCAGTTTTGCAACAAGGGGCAAAAGTATCATGGAAGTCGATGCCTTCGATATGAGTGTAGCCTTTGGCAACCAAGCGTGCCTTGTAATACTCGATTGTCCCATCCGGGCGATACTTAATTTTAAACACCCACTTGGCCGCAATGGTGCGATGTCCAGGAGGCAAGTTGACGAGGTCCTAGGTGCCGTTTTGCTGGAGGGCACGAATTTCTTGAAGTATCGCTTCGCGCCAACGAGGGTCAGCCAGAGCTTCGCGGTAGCTCCATGGAACATCATGGTTAGTTACTGTAGCAAGGAAAGCACGATAAGTGGGGCGAAAATTATCATAGGAAATAGAAGCTGTAAGAAGATAAGAAACAACATGCGAAGAACTTCCCTCGCCGTCAACGTCATGTAACGGGGCAAACTGAGTATCATAAAGCCCCAAATGCTTCGGCCGAACCCTGACTCGGTCGCCGCATCGAGAAGGTTGAGGAACCATAGACGACGAGGAGGGAGGCTGGCAAGGCAAGAGAGGAAGGCCTAGTGGTTGGAGTAGATTGTGGCAACCGCGGGCTGTCGGGGGCTTCAGGAATGACAGCCACGGGATCGGGGGCAAAAATGTAATTTTTATCACACATGCTCCAACTTGAGGGGGTATTAGAGTAAGTAAGATTAAAAATATAATTTTTAATATAACATAGGTAGTTTATGTAATTTGTAGTGTAGGTACTATAGTGATAATTTGGTCAGATGTATAAGAGACAACTTCCAATGTACAGATTTCACTTAACATATTTATGACAAAATATAGATGAAAAGCACTTCTACTATGCTATAAGGTATTGGTGCTTTAATGTATAACTTTAAGTTGTACCATAACATTAAAGGGTTAATTGTATGATTGCTCACTGAGATTACAAAAACCGTTCAAGTTTGGTCATTCGAAATATTTAAATACATTGATGGTACTTTAGTTTACTGAAACCGTTCACGTTTGGTCACTCTCCGTCCAACTCTGTTAACTTTGGCTGATGTGGCAGTCAATTCTAAAAGTTGACCGTAACTTAGTGACGTGACAACTAAAAAATTATTAAAATAATTTTTTAAATATTTTCCACCTCAAATAATAAAAAATATAATTTCTTTTCTACAAACCCCCATACCCTACCCGACCCAACCCCGTACCCCCAGGGATCAGAACAAGTTCTTCCAGGATTTCGCCAAGGCGATGCAGAAGCTGAGCGTCTACGGGATCAAGACTGGGGGGAGAGGCGAGATTAGGCACCGGTGTGATGATGCCAACTGATTGGATTGGATTATTTTTCTTCTTTTAGGAATGCCATTGATTCATATATGGTCGGTCAATCTCCCTGGGATTAAAAATTTGGAGGTTGTTACAATGCATGACTATAAATTATAAATGGGTTTTTCTTTGGGTTGTGATCGTTGTTCTGTCCTTTTTGGTTCTGCGAGCGTCTCAAAATTGATGGGGTTTTCATACGGGGAGATGGAGGAAAGAAAGAAAGAGCTTTACTTTGTATCAAGCAAGAAAAGAAATAACTTGTTCTGATCCCTGGCGTACAGCTCCACAAACGGCCGAGTCCGGCCGTTGGTGACGAGCCTGTGGTCCGACGCCAGTAGGCCCAACTCTTTGGGCAAGTTCTGGTAGTACAAATTGTTGAACTTGTTGGGCGTCATTATGTCGTTGAACACCGAGATCGACGGGTCCTTCTTCTAGTTCGCGCACGCCTTCTTAGTGGGACCGGTTCCAGCAGGTGAAGAATAGAAAAGTAATTAGGTTTTTGATTTTTTGATTTTTTAATGAATGTAATAATGAGGTGGAAAATATAAATTTTTTTTTAATAATTTTTTCATTGCCACGTCACTAAGTTAACGGTCAACTTTGAGAGTTGACTGTCACATCAGTCAAAGTTAAGAGAGTTGGACGGAGAGTGATCAAACGTGAACGGTTTGAGTAAACTGAAGTACCATCAATGGATTTAAATATTTCGAGTGACCAAACTTGAACGTTTTTTGTAATCTCAGTGACCAACCATGCAATTAACCCCTAAAACTTATAACTGTTTTTATAACAAGTGATAAGTTGTGTGACGGTTTACGATAATATCCCATAATTCCCAACTAGCAGTGTAGCACCGGGAGAAAATGTGGGAGAGAAATGAAGGATTGGGTTTCTCAGTGGCTTCCTTCACTAATTTCTGAAGGAACCGGGATGGAGAAGAAGGAAACACGACGGTCCGCAATCAGATCAAAGGCCAGATCTGAGACCCCAATCAGACGATTGGATCTTAGGCGGCGGCGCACTAATGCACTAGAACCGCAAGCAGCAACACTATGGCCATCAGCGGGGTAGCAGAGGAGACGGAAGACAGCGTTGAACGGCGACGAAGACTCCGTCGAATCCGGCGGCAAAGTTTCCGGAAGGAGTGACATCACTATCCGGCGACAGGCGAACCGGCGGGGGCAGTGTGAGGAGCCTGGGGAGAAGCACCAACAGGTGTGCTCTTCATCCGTAAATGGATATTTTCTAGCTCTATTCCAATCTCAACTATTAGCTCCACAAATTAGAGAACCTCTATCACTTCTGCTCAGCGGCGGAGAAGGATTGTGAATTTGGGATGATGTGGACGGTGGTGGCGCCGGCGGCAGCTGGTGGGTGGGAGGTGGGATTTCCTTTCTGGGCCTGCTTTTATTTATTCTGCAATAATGTCATCCCCTATAAATTTACGCCATCCATGATCTCACCATGGCTAGAACTAGAATAAGAAAATGGCCAGATGACCATTTCATGGGGTATGAATCGTTGTCATGAACAAGTTAATAAGTAATGTAAGAAACTGTGGTGGTGCTGTTGTCATTTTCAGTTGAGCTTTCTCCATTGTCATATTCACATATATGTATATTATGTATTCCAGTTCCGGCCTTGAGCTACATATTCCATTCACAAATGACCTGGTCCATCCCAACCCCGGGCCTCAGTTGAAGTTGAAAATCAAAGGTGTCTCTGCCTCACTCTCCCTTCCTCCAAGCTTCCCTTGTCTCAATCCATCATTACCATCTATTAGTAGTCAATTCTCTGCTCCTTATTCTTTTTTTTTCTTCTCCCACCTCATTCCTAGCTTGCATTGGATTCTCCTTCCTCTTTTGTCTTTCTTCGTCCCACCCAGAAGCTCACTTTGCTAATCTTGGTTGTTTCTCCATAAGTTAAACCGCACCTCATCATCTCTCTATTCTAGTGTGGCTTCAGCTTCGGTAGTAGCAAGAGATCCAAAAATATTCAACCATGAGAATGGGGAAGACTTCACACAGAGGACCCGAGGTAAGCTAGCTAGCTAGCAAGCAACTCACTCCCATTTCCCACACAGCTTGATTTCTTCTTCTTCTTCTTCTTCTTCTTCTGCAAAACAAGCAAATCAGTGGGTTTCTGAATTGTTGGGCATGGATGATATTCAGGTGAAAGCAGAAGGTCAACGCAAGAAGTCCCTCTTTGCTTCCATAGCCAAACCTTCATCAACAGAGACCAACAGACCTAACAGTATGGTGATCAAGGTAACATACCTGAAAAGACCAAACCTTTTCTTCAAATGCTAACTCGGGTCCATGTTGATCTAATTAGAATTTGAATTTCCCCTTCAATTGTCCAGAAGGCGCACACTGTAATCCCAGCAGAGATTGTGGCGGAAGCCATTTCCACTCTCCGTGGGCTTGATCTCCGGTGGTCGGGCCCTATAACTCCCTCAGAGATGCAGTACGTTGAGCAGTACGTCCTGGCCAAGTACCCTCAATACGCCGGCCTCGTTGGGGAGAAGATCGATCTCTCCACCCTCTGCATCATCGGAGAAGATCCTGCTGCTGCTGACAAAGAAGAACGCAGAAAATCCTCGCCCCGGGGAAGTTTCAGGGACGCCACGTCGCCTTCCAATGGGAGCAGCAGTCACCCTGACCTCGACAGGACCCAACTGGAGCCTTCCAGATTGCTCGATATCCTCACCATGAAATCTTCATTTCCGGGCAGCTTCATCTCCATCCCGGAAATCCAAGCCCAGAACAAGGTGTTGAGGCACTGCGGTTTGCCCGACGATGAGTACCTTGTTCTCTTCACCCCGAGCTACAAAGACGCCATGATGTTGGTCGGAGAGAGCTACCCTTTCTATAGAGGGAACTTCTACATGTCGGTTCTCGGGGAGGACAACGATTGCGTGAGGGAATTCGCTGCTTACAAGGAATCCAAGCTGATATTGGCGCCAGAGACTTGGCTGGATTTGAGGATCAAAGGGTCGCAGCTCAGCCAATATTTCAGGAGAAAGTGCAAGCATAGCACAAAGGGGCTTTTTGCTTACCCGGCGGATGTGGAAGGGACTCGTTATTCGATGCATTGGATATCGGAAGCCCACCGGAATTCGTGGCATGTCCTGCTTGATGCTACCGCTGCTCTTGCCGCCGGAAAGGATAGATTGAACCTGGCGCTTCACCGGCCGGATTTCGTGCTGTGTACTCCGGATAATGATCCGCAGACGCAGTCTTCGACCATCACTTGCCTTCTTGTGAGGAAGAAATCATTCGACACCACAACAGCAACAACTACGGGTTTATCTTGAGCATAATGAGCTGCGAGAAATGAAGAGCGACGACTATGTAATGTGAATATATCTCAACTACCTTTTTTTCCTTTTCAAGCTGGGCTGTTATTAGACAACGTTGGAGCTTGCGCATTTGACCCAAGTATAGCTTTGGATTAGTGACGAAGATACGCATCAATTTCTGATCTTCTAATGGAATCAAGTTACAGTAAGTAGAAGTCTGACTGCTACAGCTACAACTTATTCTTGAATTCTTGCTGGCCATTGCCACCGCAAAGTCCTGGTAAAGCGTATTTGAGGTCTATCATGACTTATCAAAGCTCAACTGTGAGCAAATGGTAGATACATAGAGTATAGAGCACTATAATTAATTGTGCCCCTAAAAGGACTGGTTCATATCTTTCTTTCTTTTGGTAATTTGGTCTCCCACTTGTTTCTTTGCAAATTTATTCCGAGTACACAATGAAGATTTAACTTTGACCACAGAAATGAATTGAATTAAAATTTTAAGAATGGGTGGTCAGGTCTAAACGTTCTCACAAAAGAGAGAGCTCTGAAAAATTCTGTACACCAAATAGGGTGTTCAAATGGTTACTGTGGTAATAACCAGACCAATTAAGTCTAAATTTCATTAACCATGGAATAAAATGTCTTAACCAAACCGTCCAAATTAACACGAAACCCAAATTAACCAAACCAAAGTTTAATTGGTTTGGTTAATCGGATAATTGGATTAACCAAATAACATAACATTACATGAAAACAAGTATCTTGTTAATGAATAAAACATTACCATATGCTATTACTATCATAAACTATCATTATATATAAACAGTAATAATAAGACTAACCATCCATGATTATCATCATCATTCGAGTTAATACATCATTCATCATCTCTGCACCTAATATAGTTAGCTTACAACAAACCCCTTAACATAAATACATACCAAGACCCTTCATCAGGAAGTTAAAGCTCTCCTACAAAACACTTAAACTATACATAGTTTGAGGTGGTTGTCATGGTATTGTACGTAATCCTAAAGTCTAGTAGTTGTCCAAAATGTTTTGGTATAGTAAATAGGCAGACCCATTTAATTTTTGACCAATAATGTTTTGGTTTGTTGTGCACATGGAAATAAAATAGGGAATCACCAAAGTTTGGTTTGGTTGGTTGCATGGAAGTATAAATAATTTTGTATATTAGGTGTATCATTAATTGGTTTCATTGGTTAGCAGTGCTGAAACCAAACCAAACCACCTAAACCAAATAAGAAAAATTGTTTAACCAAACCAAACCAATTATCCAAATTAACCAAACCAAATTAACCGAATGCTATCAGTTAATATGGTTACCATGGTAACCAATCCGTTTGAACACCCCCTACCAGATTCTGCATCCCTCTCTTTCCTGCTCTTCAAGTTAAAAACCTATGGAAATCTATAGCCCGGTGAGAACCCGTTCGGCGGATTATAATCACTCGGAACAAACACGGGTAGCTGCCTGCCCCTCTGCGATCTCCCCTGATGATGACCAACCACTGGCCCTCCGAAGAATATCGACTGTTCTGTGTACAAAAGCTCTGCTCCAGGTACATGTGACGCACTGTGACTCGACTCTACTGTCACTCCAGGAATTGGCCAAGTGTAACCACTTCCTAAAGCGTAGTATAGCGGGTTTAGGTTTAATTATCAACCCGGGTCCTAGATTTGCTGACTACTCAGTGAGTTCTTGTTATCTAGCAATAAAACTGGAGTGCAAGTCTAATCTACCAAACAAACAAAGCAAGTAAACTGTTGTATTCAGGTTAAAGAGGTCACCCGGATATGGTTCCCCATAGACTGCAGTTAAGCCGGATTGTAATTACCAAGTTCAGTTTCTATGAAGATTATACTGCGGAAGGTTCTTAAACAGCCTGAAGTCTTGACTAAAGGTCTTCAGACCCTCTCAATCTGACTCTCTAGCGGGCGACTAACCTCCACCGGAGTCGACAGATTGAGGCCCTAAGAACAAAACCTCCACTACCGGAGTAAATCCGGTACAGAATAGTGAGTTGGCTCCTCGACTAAAGTCACCAACTCCCTACCTTCAATCAAGGATACTCTATTAACCTAGGCAGATATTCTCATTCTAGGTTAAAGCAGAAACAACAGGAATTTGATCAGGATTCAAGTCATTCAATCATCAAAACCTCAATCGAATATAATCAATCACAGAATCAGTACTTGGGTTCATACAATCAAAGCCTAACATACAAATCTAGGGTTCTCCATACCCAGATGAATGGGAGAACTACTCCATAGAGAAGAAAGCAAAAGCAGAATCAGACACGGAATTCATACTGCGAAGGATGGATTCCTGCTTCTGGACGTTGATCGGCACTTCTCCAAGCTCAAGCTGGCCTCCAATGGTGTTGAAGATCAATCTAGGGCACTTGGGAACTCTTGCTCGTCACTTTCTCTCTCTAGGAACTGATCTCTCTCTCAAAAACTCGAAAATCCCCCTTCTGTTTGGCTGAAAATCTGCTTAAAAAGGCATCAGCCAAAGCACGGTCGAGGGCACGGCCGTGTAATGCCTCAGCCCGCCCGTGCTTTGGCTAGTGTTAATTACACTAGCAGCAGTGGGGAGAAACACGGCCGTGCTTCGCTTTGGACACGGCCGTGTAATGCTTGAACACGCCCGTGCTTTGTTTTGGCCCTGCCCGTGTAATCAGCTCAGCTCTCGGCATAAAAAGCACGGCCACCAGAACACGGCCGTGTAATGATTTAGGTGTGCCCGTGTTTTGGCTCCAGCTCACCGAAATGACTTCCGAATGCCCCGAAACTCGCGCTTAGCCTTCCCTTTGACACCTGGGACCTGAAACATGACAAAATAGCACAACCCGGCGTAAAATAGGCCACAACACACGAATATGCCCCTCAAACGGATAAGAACTAGGGGCGCAAACATGTGCAATTACATCGTTATCAAACTCCCCCACACTTAACCGTTTGCTTGTCCCCAAGCAAACCTAACTCAAACCAATGCAACTCTCCAGACCTTCATAGCAACAAACAACCCAGATCGTAGGTAGAGGACTTTCTAGATCATTTAGCAACTTACGAGGTCAACCGACGCACAAGTCATCTCATAGCTTCCTCGGCGAGTCGGCATCATGGCAAACAGTGAATAGAGGACAAATGAATCGTGGATGAAGAGATTCTCAAGAACAAAAGATCATGGACTCACATTTTTCAAGGTGCTCTATTTTCTGCTTAAAGATGGTTGGAACCCCTTTTTTTTCTGTTTTGCTTGTTTTCTGTTATTTTTCTTTTCTTTTTTTCTTTTCAAGGGTCCCAACCTGCTCTTACTGGCCATGCCAGGAGCGGATGTCTCGAGCCTCGTGCGGGGGAAAGACATGTAAGGGGGCTGGAGGTAGTAGGTGGAAATTGGGAACGGATTCCCGTCTCCCCTTACACACTTTCGCCCTATTCGCACGGGAGACGTTTATTTTGAAGCACATTTTCGAGCACATGTTAAACTCAAAACAAGATACAAGAGTCCATGATAGGAAGAAAATCCACAACACCACACAATTCAAGGGTCCTAAGATCACTAATTCACTCAATCAACCAACTCAATAGGAAGAAGAAATGGGACTTCTTAAATGCATCAACATCCTCCATAGTGCTACACTACCTCCCTAGGTTGCACATTACTATAAAGACTGTCAATTCAAAGCATACTGAGCAGGCAATTGCATGGAAAAACGTATTTGGAGCCCTCAAATTTAAAAATTTGGACAGTGGACTAGGCTCCAAGCACACAAACAGATCTAATGCAGCCAAAAGATAAACACCCCCCCCCCCCCCCCCCACACTTAAGATCGACATTGCCCTCAATGGAGAAGAGGGAAGGATAAGGGAACGATGTTACCGGTATGCACGGACTGCAGGAGACTGGAAACGGGCCAGTCGGGGCACGCACAGCCAAAGGGAAACAGAAGAGCTCAGACACAATATGTTAGGTTCAATGGTCAGCCCAATAAAATATCATCCAAACCAAAAGAAAACTAACCAAACCCAAACCGGGTTACAATCCGACTCAAAACACAAGAAAGAAAATCAAACCGTGGTGGGGTTGCCTCCCCACAAGCGCTTCTTTACCGTCGTATTAGCTGGACGCCCATGGTGGATACTCAGGGCGGTGCAGGAACAGGTGCCTCCAAGAGCGGATCCACATCGCTCTTGAGGTACAGCTTGAGGTTGTGGCCATGCACCCGACGGATGCGACCACCCTCATCAGTCAGCTCGACCTGCCCATCTGGCAAGATGCAGGAGAGCGAGTACCCAGACGGCCAGGGTGGTCGTGGTGCAGGAGGTGGGACCAGCTCATAGTGGTCTCCACTCTTCTTTCGTGCAGGCTTAGCAACCTGCGGCTTCGGCCGCCACTCCTCCTTGAACTTTTTGTTCGGAGGCGAGGCTGGATGGAGTGGCGGCGAAGGAATGATAGGAGGGTCCTGCAAAATGAGAGGAGCAGAAGGATACACGACAGGCTCGTGTACCTGATCAGACATAGCATGCACAGGCGTGACATCAATCATAGCACAGTGATCAAACTCAGTCACAGAAAAAGTAGCCTGTTCATTCCCAGCATGCAAGATCAATTTACCATCATGCACATCAATAAGTGCCTTGGCGGTGGCAAGAAATGGCCGACCCATAATCAAAGGCACATCCACATCCTCATGCACATCAAGAATAACGAAATCAACAGGATATGTGAATGCACCGACACTGACAAGCAAATCCTCTATGATTCCCCTAGGATGCACGATAGAACGATCAGCTAACTGAATGCTCATCCTAGTAGGGCTAAGTTCACCTAGGTCTAGCTTCTTATACAACTTATATGGCATGACGTTTATGCTAGCGCCTAGGTCCGCCAAGGACTTACCTACATGCATGCTGCCAATAGTAAGAGGGATAGTAAAACTCCCTGGATCCTTGCGCTTCTCGGGCAGCTTGTTCTGCAGGATAGCAGAACACTCCTCGCTCAGCATCACTGCCGAGAGATCCCCAAGTTTCTTCTTGTTGGTGCAGATATCTTTCATGAGCTTGGCATACTTGGGCATCTTCGACAGTGCCTCCATGAACGGTATGCTTATGTTGAGCTGCTTCAACATTGCCATGAACTTGGCAAACTCAGTCTCCAGCTTGTCTTTGTGTAGGCGAGTGGGGAAGGGAAGCTGGGGCACATGCTCCTTAACCACTGGTTGTGGCTTGGGGGCAGGGGCTTCCTTCTCCACCCGCACTTCTGCATCGTCGGCTGGAAGTGCTGAAGCAGTCAGTGGTTCCTCCTGTCTGGCCGGGACAGGATCAGCAGATATGGTCTTACCGCTCCTGGTAAAAATGGCATCCAGCTGCTGATGCTGGTGAGGATCTCGAGGATTAGGAACAGTGGTGGCAGGCAGAGTCCCCGGTGCCCTGGTGGTGCTCTGGCGGGCCAAGATGCCCACCTGGGTCTGCAAATCCTGCAAAATGGCACCCTGGTTCCTCTGACCTGCCTCCAGTGAGGCTACACTCTGGTCCAACCTCGTGATAGTCGCCTGAGTGCTCGTCATGAATGAAGCTAGAATGTTTTCCAGCTTCGTCATCCTGTCATCGGGGGCTGGAGCTGCTGCTGGCTCGGCAAACTGGCGCTGGGGCTGCTGGAATGGCTGCCCCTGCCTAGGCTGGTAAGGCTGCTGCTGTGGGTCTGGCCCCTGGCGAGCCTGGAAGGGCTGTCTCTACTGAAAACCACCTGCTGGTGCTGGGAAACCAGGTGGTTTAGTGGTGTTGTTGCTCCAGGCGAAGTTGGGATGCTGGCGCCACCCCTCATTATATGTGCTACTGTATGGATCGAGGCGCCTCGCATTGGCGATGAAGGCCAACTGCTCCTGGGGTGTGGTAGACTCCCTCATAGCCTGGCAGTCCTCCACTAGGTGATTGGAGCTCTCACACCACTGACACTGAGCAACTGGAGGTGTAGCCAAACCTCTGCCCGGAATCAGACTGTTGGGCTGCTTCAGTGTCTGCACCAGCTCAGCTACCTGAAGCTCGAGCCCGGATCTGGTATCCATGGCGTGCACACCACGGTCTCGGGACTGTCTGCCTCGGCTACCCTGTCCCCAAGAATGATCTCTGGCAGCCAAAGTACTGATCATCTGGTTCAGCTCGGGTGGAGTCTTGGTAAGAATATCCCCTCCTGGGCATAGAGACTCAATCACCCTCTGGCTGTCTGGAGAAAGGGCACTGTAGAAGTTCCCCACTGTGAATGCATCACTGAAGCCATGATGGGGGCACTGCCAAAAATAGCCCATGTACCGCTCCCAAGCATCACGAAGTGACTCATCTGGCTCCTGGCGGAAGTGAGTGATCTCCCGCTGAATCTCTGTAGTCTTCGATGCCGGATAGTACCGGTGCACGAACTTGTCAGCCAGATCGTCCCAAGAGGTGATGGACAATGGGGGCTGGGTTTCCAACCACCTCTTAGCATTCCCCGCCAGAGAATGGGGGAAGAGATGAAGGCGGATCGCATCATCGGGAACACCGTTCAGCTTGAACCCGTTTGTCAGCTGCAGAAAACGGGACAGATGTACCCTGGCCTCCTCATCCTTCAAGCCATGAAACTGGATCGAGGATGTGATGAGCTGAATCCAGCATGGCTTGATCTCGAAGTTGTTTGCTGGGATCGGCGGGTAGAGGATGACCGGGCGGATGTCAGCAATCCGAGGAGTGTAGTAGTACTCCAAGGTGGGACCCGGCTGCGGTGGATGATGAGCTCCATGATCCTGGGGTATGGGGTTGTTCCCCAGGACCTGATTCACCGGGGGAACCTGCTGTGGATTCCCCTGGTGTTGGTTGTAGTCTCCGTCCATCCCGGGCTCTTCTTCAGAATCGCTGCTCAGGTGGCCGTCTATGCGCTCTTCCGTAGCCAGTCTAGCTCGCTGTTGTCTCCTGAGCTGGCGACAGGTGCGGTCAATCTCTGGATTCAACGGCAGTAAACCTCCCGACTGGCTACGGGTCATGCACTACCTGCACACACTCAAGCAACAAACCCGTGAAGGCACAAGTGGGACAAAGAGAACAAAGCAAAAAGAGAAGCTAAATTAACAGAAATCACTTTTCTTCAACAACCTAGCCGTCCCCAGCAACGGCGCCAAAAACTTGACTCGACTCTACTGTCACTCCAGGAATTGGCCAAGTGTAACCACTTCCTAAAGCGTAGTATAGCGGGTTTAGGTTTAATTATCAACCCGGGTCCTAGATTTGCTGACTACTCAGTGAGTTCTTGTTATCTAGCAATAAAACTGGAGTGCAAGTCTAATTTACCAAACAAACAAAGCAAGTAAACTGTTGTATTCAGGTTAAAGAGGTCACCCGGATATGGTTCCCCCTAGACTGCAGTTAAGCCGGATTGTAATTACCAAGTTCAGTTTCTATGAAGATTATACTGCGGAAGGTTCTTAAACAGCCTGAAGTCTCGACTAAAGGTCTTCAGACCCTCTCAATCTGACTCTCTAGCGGGCGACTAACCTCCACCGGAGTCGACAGATTGAGGCCCTAAGAACAAAACCTCCACTACCGGAGTAAATCCGGTACAGAATAGTGAGTTGGCTCCTCGACTAAAGTCACCAACTCCCTACCTTCAATCAAGGATACTCTATTAACCTAGGCAGATATTCTCATTCTAGGTTAAAGCAGAAACAACAGGAATTTGATCAGGATTCAAGTCATTCAATCATCAAAACCTCAATCGAATATAATCAATCACAGAATCAGTACTTGGGTTCATACAATCAAAGCCTAACATACAAATCTAGGGTTCTCCATACCCAGATGAATGGGAGAACTACTCCATAGAGAAGAAAGCAAAAGCAGAATCAGACATGGAATTCATACTGCGAAGGATGGATTCCTGCTTCTGGACGTTGATCGGCACTTCTCCAAGCTCAAGCTGGCCTCCAATGGTGTTGAAGATCAATCTAGGGCACTTGGGAACTCTTGCTCGTCACTTTCTCTCTCTAGGAACTGATCTCTCTCTAAAAAACTCGAAAATCCCCCTTCTGTTTGGCTGAAAATCTGCTTAAAAAGGCATCAGCCAAAGCACGGTCGAGGGCACGGCCGTGTAATGCCTCAGCCCGCCCGTGCTTTGGCTAGTGTTAATTACACTAGCAGCAGTGGGGAGAAACACGGCCGTGCTTCGCTTTGGACACGGCCGTGTAATGCTTGAACACGCCCGTGCTTTGTTTTGGCCCTGCCCGTGTAATCAGCTCAGCTCTCGGCATAAAAAGCACGGCCACCAGAACACGGCCGTGTAATGATTTAGGTGTGCCCGTGTTTTGGCTCCATCTCACCGAAATGACTTCCGAATGCCCCGAAACTCGCGCTTAGCCTTCCCTTTGACACCTGGGACCTGAAACATGACAAAATAGCACAACCCGGCGTAAAATAGGCCACAACACACGAATATGCCCCTCAAACGGATAAGAACTAGGGGCGCAGACATGTGCAATTACATCGTTATCACACTGGCATTATTGGCAGAAGCCACGCCACCCACTCTTGGGGTCGATGAGGACACAAATCGCCCAACATTTGGATCTCAGTGAACTGTAGCTCTCATACTCTCCATCCCGCCACCGCCACCACCCACGTTATTGTTCCTCCTCCCAGCAGCTGCCACTTGCGGTTGGACTCGACCCACATTGTGATTTACAGCTGTTGAGAGTGGAGACTGGCCAGCCGAGGACTGATACATTAGGTTGAAATGGTCTCTATTCTGCATTGGCGAGGTAGCCAGGTGTTACATATTGCAACTGCTCATGTTGCTGACACTGTGGCGGCATGACTCGATGTCCTCCCTGCTCGTCTAGCTCATGTTTCTTGGGCCGTAAGAAAGGTTGCTTTGGCCAGGTTGATCTACTGGGTTCATGGGGCTGCTCTTGACACTGAAGTTGCTGCCCGAGAGATGATCAGTGTCGTAAGGCTGGTGCCGAGGGGATTTGATTGGGCGGAGCACGGAGGAAGATGCTCGGGCTTAGCAGCTGCCTTCATTGCCTCATTAGAGTCCAGGTTTGCGAGATTCCATGCACTGATCCGCACTTGACCCGGTGGTAATCTCTTGCTGCCTTCTGGTAATGTGTATGGATCAACAATTGAAGGTAGGCGTCCTTTCTCCAAATGTGGAATGATTTCATCCTAATAGATGGAAAGGAAAATGCCAAATTCCCCAATCATTCTAAGAGTATCACTCATGAGTCATGATTCATTCATAGGGTAAAAAAATACATAAACAGTCATCGAACTTTGGGGTCACAAACAAATCGATTGATGAATCAAAGTTCAGTGACTCATTTGTTAGTTACCTCAAACTTCAGTGACCATTTACGTAGAAACTGACACCTCAGAATGAGTGAACTGAACACTTTTGAAGCTTAGCAATGGTATAGGTTTACTGGGTTGTCCATGAAGATTCTTGGAGGGGTACACCAAGCGCCTTTGTACTGCAACCCATTCCAAGTGAGCTTCTTCCACTAATTGTTGTCACAGCGGAACTCGCCGGTGAAGATGGAAGACTTTGCTGCTCACCTCCTCCATCGACCGATGATCCTGGTGGTTCACTTTGCGTTCTCATAGCAACAACATACTCGTATGTTGCGATACCCCTGCAGAAGGACATGTTTAACACCCCTTGTTTTCACAGCAAATGGGGTCTGCTGATGCATAAACAAAGTACTTTTCTAATCAGAATCATGAGGAAGAAGAATAGCTCGCCCAGGGGTATCGTGGCAAGGAATGATACAACAGTGCAGAGTGCCTGCAAATTGAAAATTCATATGAACTGTCTCAAAAGTGGTGCCAGGTGACTTCATACATTTTGACTGAACGAACCACTACATTTCTCTTAACAGCCTATGCATATATCTTCTCTGTACTGGCATCCAGACTAGCAAACGAGTTCAAACATTTACCACTACCACCGCGAATGGAGGGCGGGAAAATCCAATGCCGAGCTTTTCTGATATTTGATGGTCCATAGTTTTTCGATCGATAAAGCATCTGACAAGGACTGTAACCCCAACAACCAAACTCAACAGCAAGCTACAAAGCAAGGAGAGGTAGATCAGATAATTAACACTTCTTTCATACTTTAAAGTTGGAGGATAGAAGAGAAACTTGAGAGAGAAAAGCTCTCCTCTCTCTCCTCGTCTCTGCCCTGTCCTCCTTACCGTTAATGACCGTTGGGGGTGAACCCCTAAAACAGGGGGAAGACTACTGTTTGAAGCCACCGGATGGCACCACGCCGGCAAACACCGTGCCGGAGGGATCTCCATCGACATCCCCAATCCAGTCGAGTAAGAAAGCGAAAGCCTAATCCAGCACTGGATTCTCAGGACAAGTTGATATGGATTTTTCCATTGTCACCGCAAGGGTAGCAGATGAAGAGATGCAAAGCCCAGAGAAGCGGGAGAAGGGGAGGGCGCCTCCCCTACCGCACGCCACCAACGAATCTACAGCGCGCAAAGCTTTCTACAAGGATTCATTCCTTCAAAATGGGGCGCCACTGGAAATTTCGGAAGGTGATGACCTAATGTCGGATGAATCCGACGAAGAGAATGGTGATGATGATCCAGAATGCCCTACAATCATAATTAAGAAGAGAATGAATGCAATTATCTGCAATCAATGGAGAAGGGCCATCACATTTCGGATTCTAGGTAAAAACTTTCCCTTCGCCTTTGCTCACAGGAGAGTTCAGAGAATGTGGACAAAGACGGGAGGGATGAAGGTAGGAGATATTGGCAATGGGTACTTCCAAGCATCCTTTGACTCGCAACTTGACCACGACAAAGCTTTATATGGAGGGCCAGGGACGATAGAGGACCACTACATCGTTTCAGAGCCCTGGAGGTTAGATTTTGATCCTGACTTCGATACTATTAACAGAACTTCAGTTTGGATACGATTCCCATGCCTTCCTCTTGCCTACTTCGATGAAGAGATCCTTACTGATATAGGCAATAAGATAGGAAGGGTTGAAAAGATTGATTATAACACAGCTAATGGGTTAAGGGGCAACTACGCTCGCATTTGTGTGGAGATTGACCTAAGGAAGAAACTAATTTCTAAATATAGAATCAAGAGGAGAGTGATGCATGTTGAGTATGAAGGGTTGCATACTGTTTGCTATGACTGCGGACTCTATGTCCACTCTTCGGGTGCCTGCCCACAAAGACAAACAACTGTGAATACTATCAGTTCTAATCAGAGCAAGGCACCCAACCTCTCACAAACAAACCATGATATCAGGCCAGAAATTCTTTGAAGACTATGGCCCATGGATGCTTGCAACAAGGCCAAAGAGAAGGAGCAACCAACATAAGCAGAAAAAAGTGAAGATAAAGGAAAGGAGACACCTTCATTCGTGGAAACCAAAGCTTCTAGATCACGGTTTGGAGACAGATGAAATGGATACAAAAGAAGCGGAAGCCGAAACAGAGATGACACTGGAGCAACATCAGGAATCCACTGTGCAGTAGAGCATCAACAGGAAAATAAAAATGAGGATCATGGGGAGAAAGTCCAAGAGGAAAAAAAGCCAGAGAAGAAGAAAAGTGGCCAAAAAGGAAAAAAAGAGGGGAAAGAGAGCAAAGATGCAAAACCTGACTTGAAGCAAATCAAACAAAAGGACCATCATAAACCAACCCCGAAATCGCGCAAGCAGATTGAAAGTTTGACTAATCCCAAAAAGCTTGCCATGGAATCCAGGAATAACTTGAAGATCAAGGCTAAGGATGGCTTGTCTTCACTTGGAGCTACTAGTCATAACAAGCATCCTGGGGGGAAAACCACACCTACCTTAGCCATGAAGAGTACACTAATGGCTCATCTGCTGAAGCCAAATCAGGCCACAAGCCAAAGATGAGGTAAATAACAAATGAGAGGAAGGAAAGTGAAGCCTTTAGCAATGAATCCAAGACGCAAAACAACCTGATGGGCAATCCAAGGAAGATTAACTTCGACCTTAACAAGGATGGTGTCAAAACAGTGCCAGAAAGTGCAACTAATCCTAAGGATACTGCTTGCAGGAGCAGTCCAATGGAGTAAAAGATGGCAATGGCCGTCGACAAGTGCTGACTTCGACCACATGGTCGATATAGGGAAGCTTTTCTAATACCTTTGCTATGGTTAAAGTTCTTTCCTGGAATTGCAGGGGTGCAAAGCACCCTAAGTTTCTTGCCACTCTTAAGTTGTATAAGGCCACGTTCTATCCGGATATTGTTTGTGTCCTGGAACCAAGAATTAGTAGGAAGGATGCTGTCAAGGTTATCATGTCTACTGTTTTGTTCTTAAAAAGTGTCTGAGGCGATTGGTTTCAGTGGAGGTATCTGGGTCCTATGGGATAGCAGTAAACTGAACCTGGAGCTAGTTGACAACCACAGACAGCTCCTCCATCTCAAATGTGTTATGGGAGGAAGAGAGAAGTACTTCCTAACCGCTGTCTATGCTAGCCCTAATGAGCATGACAGGGGAAGCCTTTGGAATGAGTTGAAAAGAATTGAAGAAGCATCTCCCTACCTTGGCTGATAACTGGATATTTTAACTCTATCACCAGACCCTCAGAAAAGCAAGGAGGTGCGCCCTTTAATTCTGCTAAAGTTAGTGCCTTCAATGACTGTATTGATGAATGTGGTCTCATTGATATGGGGTATATTGGTCCCAAATTCACTTGGTTCACCAGTAATTCTAGACTCAAAGAAAGGCTTGACAGAAGCCTGTGTAACATTGATTGGCAACAACATTTCCCTCTGACCACTGTGACACACTTGCCAAGGGCTAAGTCTGATCACATACCAATCCTGACTGATTCATCCCCAAATATGGGAAAGAACAAACTGGTGAGAAGGTTCCATTTTTTGGCATCCTGGTTAGATCATAAAGAGTTTTTCCCTTTTGTCTCCAACTATTTGACTGTTGGCTGTGACTTTCTTCCTTCTTTGCAGAACCTTGCTAGAAAGCTCACTGTCTGGAACAAGGAAGTCTATGGAAACATTTTCAAAAGAAAAAAGGAACTGCTCTACTCCCTCAAGTCCCTGGAACTGCTCAACCAAAGAAATCCCTCCAACAGTTCATGTGCTAATGAGCAGAAAACTAGAGAAGACTTGGAGTGTGTTCTGTGACAGGAGGAAATGCTCTGGATCCAGAAATCAAGAGTACAATGGACTACCAAAGGGGATCTCAATACTCGATATTTCCATAACCGCACTCTAAGCAGGAGGAAAAGGAACAAAATCATGGCCCTCAAGGATGATCATGGGAACTGGGAACAGATCCCGTGGTGCTCCAGTCTATGGCCAGAAATCACTTTGTTACACTTTTCACAATGGATTATGGGGACAACGGACCTACAATTGTTGCTGCCTTCCCAGAATTTGATGATGCTAAACTGAGATAGCTTGGAAAACACCCCGCACCTGAAAAGATCAAAGCAATCATCATGTCAATGAATGGCCTCAAAGCTCCAGGAAAAGACGGGTTTCAAGCCCTCTTTTACAAAAAATGTTGGAGTACTATTGGTTTGGCTTTTGCTAATTTTGTTGCTACTTGTTTCAGGGACCCCAATAGAATCCAGTTTATGAATGAGACCTTGCTTGCCTTGATCCCTAAAGTGGATGCGCCCAGTTCAATGAACCAATTCAGACCAATCAGCCTGTGTAATGTGGGATACAAGATGGTGGCAAAGAGCTTGGCTGACAACCTTAAGAAGCTCATGCCCCATCTGGTGCACTAGAACCAATCCAGCTTTGTTCCTAAGAGGCACATAACTGGCAACGTTATTATTTTGCAGGAAACAGTGTATTCCATATTAAGAAAAACTGGAAAGAAAGGCTAAATGCTACTGAAAGTTGATCTTGCCAAAGCATATGATAGGATTGACTGGAAGTTTATGGAAGAGACCTTACTGGCTGCTCGCTTTCCACTGGACTTCGTCAACCTCATCATGGCATGTGTCCCCACAACTTCCTTTTAGGTGCTATGGAATGGTGGAGAAACTGAGAGCTTCAAGCCTTCACGAGGTCTTAGACAGGGATGCCCTCTTTCACCTTACCTCTTTACTTTATGTATTGAACGCTTGAGTCATGATAATTATCGAAAACATATTGATTTCATGTGCTTAATGTTATTATTTCATGATACGTTTGAGACATATAACACTCGTTTTAATGCGAACTGACTCTGAAATGGTTATAAGACCATTACCACCATGTGTTAGTATTGTGATATATTTAGGTGGAAAAGCAAAAGAGTATGGAAGCATGTGCAGCTGGCGAGTACGTATTGGATTTGAAGCCCAGCAAATGAAAAGGAGCTTTGGGCCAGAATTGAATTAATTGGTCAGGGGAACTATTTGTTTGGACGGAAGAGGATTGTTCTCGTGGGCGGCGATTACTTTTAATTGGACACTTTTCTGGGAGGGGAGGCAATGATTAGGTGGCTAAGTTTTGGACGGGATCAATTCTCTTGGAACGGAATCCTTTGGGGGGGGGGGGGAATTAAAAGAAAAAAAGGCAGTTGGCGGCTGGCAACTAGGGAAAGAGGAGGTCGGATTTATTATTGTGGACGGAAGGGAGC